TTTAATGCCCAAACTCAGCTCAGTTTGATTTAAAGTGGTTAAAAAGTAATCTTACTAGTAATGCATTAGTGGGCTTTTTAAGGTAAGCAACTTTCGCAAAGTTTTTCACTGAAAGTCATTTATTGTTGAGGTTTGACAACGAAACGTCAACCTTTGTGAACATGGTTTATATTGACAGTTCCTGATAATGTTAGTTATTGTCGAGATTATTTCCAATAAATTTTAACTCGACATTACTTTCACTTTAAAGTAAGCAGCTGTAGCATATTTTCCCAAACATTTCCACATTGATTTGAGGGTCAGACGACAAAACCTGCATCAACATGGTTGATATTGACAGTTCCCGTTAATTAAATGTTAGTTTCATTTGATATTAATTTTAGCTGATTTATACTTACGAATAATTACTGCAGTTTCATGCAGATTATGCAGTCAAAATTCAGTTGAAAAGCATGCAGATGTACACAAGTTTTAAAAGAGACAATTAAGTATGCATTTTGGTTGATTGTTATAGCAATAAATGAGAAATAACTCCAGTCTTTTCGAGTTACATTAACTCTAACAACATGATGTTATATATGATGTTATACATAACAAGCGAAGATAATTTCCGCGGAACTTGAATTCATGCGGAAAAAAACAAAACACAAAAAGGGGATAGGTGGGCTTAATGTCACTTACTTTGTTTTTTCAATTATCATTTAACCCTTTGTTAGGGGGGGGTGGGGGAGGTGAGGAGAGAAGCAGTTTTTTGCAGATCTTGGCTCTTAGCATTAGCCTTTTAGAGCGGCTTTGCTTTACAGTATTTACAGTTCCCTCTTTTGGGATATTGCGTGATTTTCCATCATTCTATCTTTTAGGATTTCAGGTGATTTTCCGTCATTCTGTCTTTTAAGAATTCGGGTGATTTTCCATCATTCCGTCTTGTAGGATTTCGGGGGATTTTCCACCATTCCGCCATTCCATGATTCCATCTTTTAGGATTTGGGGTCATTTTCTGCTGTTCCGTGATTCTGCCATTCCGCCATTCTGCCATTCTACCATTCCACCATTCTGTCATTCAGTCTTTTAAGGTCGCCCTTACAGCCTACATATTGAATAGCTATGTAGCCTGAAGTTTCAAAATAAGCCCTACTGATTAAATATGTTGTGTCCAAAAAATTACATCCAGGCACATACCTTGGTTCATAATTCAGAACTGCAGCAGTCTGTCTACTGATGCATCTCTAAAGAGGCTTTTCAAAGAAAAACCTCGAGAGTCACTACAACATTTTGTCAAAGTTCTTCAAGGATCTTAAAATATCTTGCCAAAGATTTTGAAGAATGGTCAAGGATGTTGCAAGTTGCAGCTGCAAGTATCCTTGCTAAAATCTAAGACTAAACCTAAGAAGGTTTAGCCTTTTATAGTTTTCTCCAGCCAGTATACATTTCTTAAGCAGGGCTGGTCTATAAAACTTTGGTAGACTGAGGCGATTTCTGTAAACACTGCTGCTGTAAATTTCTGATGCCTTTCAGACCCTTTCATTATACAGTTTCAGTTTCTCAGGTTTGTAGATCTCCCCTTCAAAGATTTCTGTGTAGTGAGGATGTAGTTTTTCTTAATTAAAATATTAACCCAGTAGCAAATAAACATTGGTTTGGCTCAATTCTAGGTTAAATACAGTTCATCGATACTAGTAAGTTAACGTTTGTCGTTATAGTACATTTGAAGTCTGACGTTAATCTTACTAAAAAAAAACATTACATTAGCCACAGCGAAAAAAACATACCTCTTGAAGTGACACAATATCATAACGACCCTTGGCAAGTTCCTCAGCAATCAGGACTTTACGCTCTGCCCACATCTTGGACACATAAGGAATACCCCTGGTGAATTTTGGATACAAATTAAAACAAATTTAACAAGAACTTCGAAGAATCCACAAAAATCTTTAAAATGTCTATGGAAGTCTTCTTAACGAAATTTACAAAAATGAACTCAATGTATTAATTTAACAGTGATTAAAAGATCAATACAGTTATGAAGACTAAATTCAAACCAGAGTACCAGCAATTCAGTGTCAAGACGTGCAAATTCGACTCGTCCGCCATGTTAAGAAATGAGTCCGCTAAAGAGCAGCCGCATTACTAAAAGCGCTATCTATGTCATGTAAATCTCACGAACTCAAAAGATTTTCAAAGGCTTCTGTGAGCATCTCATCAGAGGGCTCACAAGAGATCTGGGAGCGCTATTAGGCCCGTTCCAAACGCCGCTCTATTCATGCGCCGAACCTAACTCATGAGTTAAGTACGGCAGAAGAGCGGCGTTTGAATCAGTTTGGTTCAGCATGTTAGGTTTGGTGCGGCAAACAATATTAAATTCGGCAGGGTCTGTCGCACTATGCGCGCGACGTTGGAGCGGCAGCTGATTCATACGGCGTTCTCCTCATGGGTCGAACCTAATGCATGAATTACTGTAATGTATTTTTCATATAACGGGACTCGTGATTGGCTCAAAATTGAGTGGCGTGACCAATCATGCATGAAGCTGGAAGTCGTCACTAAAAATAAACACAACGAAATTAAATATGCCTTCGATTTAAGAGAAACGGGACTGTACAAGCGAGTTTCTCTCGCGCAAATTCATTTTTTGCTTTTTCTTCGTGATAATAGCTCAGGTTATGCGATTCCCCTTTAACAAGTCGAATTAACCGGGAGAAAACCTGTCTAAATACAAACACTGAACCTTGAGTTTGAATTTGCTTCCCTAAATATTGCTATAACAGCGAAATGTCAGTTACAGCTTTTCTATTTGCACAGAGTTCTTAAATTCAGAACGCGTATTTTCTCGTCGAAAATTGTTACCACCGGCTTCCCGAATTAAGTTCGACGCAAGCACGCCGTATGAACCAGCCGTCGCTCCAAAGTCGCTCTAAAGTCGAACTTAATCAAGCTTGGTTCGGCACATGAGTGGAGCGCCGTTTGGACCGGGCCTTAGTCTCACCAGAAGCATATCATATAACCAAATAGCAGGTTGAAATCCTCATCGGCTATTAGAGTGCTCAATAGTTAGACTAGAGCAATTTATAACAATAGAAGTAAAGAGCTGGATTACTTGGTTCAAGACATTTACTTGCTACTCAGAGTTTCAAGCTTCTTCCGAAGCAATCATCAGGCAACCTGATGACTGTTTCGAAAGAGGCATGAAACTCTGGAACCTGAAATAAGTTTTTGTTTTGGAAAGCTTAATGTAACGCAAGAAAAGAGAAGAAAGTCTGTCGTTCAGTTCCAGTCTGTTCGCATAATCATAAGAAACGAAATCTACATCTATCGAAACTCTCTTCATATCTGGCAATGAAATAAGTCTTTTCCCTTGAGACACTTAGGTTTTTGCAGTTTTCGTTTTTCTTATTCCAGTAAATTGATTAAGCATGGGGCTCCCAAAACAAGCTGGTTCTGGTGTGTGCTATATGCTAGTCTGTCTTATCCGTGAATTTTGTTCGGTCCTGCGGTGGACTGCAAGCACCGCAACAGAAACTGAAGATGCCCGAAAAAATCCAGGGTTTCAAAGACTAGATTTCCTGAGCTCGATACTTTACAATCGATTCCTGTGGGGGCTCAGATTTTTTTTCTTTGTCCCATGCTCGTGTCATTTTGATCAATTCACTTTTCACATTTCATTACCGAGCTTAAAATTCACCATCTTTATTCACCTACCACACTAAACTATTTATTACACATTATTCCCTGCATATCTAGGAACTATACATATATTGTAAATAATTGTTAAAGCTTTAAAAAGCGGAATAAAAAATCAGATAATTGACATTTCTGTCTCTTTTCCTCTCATGTGTTTGATGTTTCCTCCCCTGGTTTCTGTGACAGATTATTTGGCTGAAAATAAGCCTCAAGTATAACTATATATCGCGTTAGTAATGGACATGGGGGCGGAATATAAAGTAAGCTAGTTATTTGCGCTTTCTTTTTCCTTTTTCGTGAAACTTGACAAGGAATGCTTCGATAATAATGTGACAATTCAGCACATCTTTTTTTCCTGTTTCGAACCGAAACCAAATTTGGTAAAATACGTGATCGAATGATCCTATTGGGTAGCCAGCTGGCCTCTGTGTAAGCAACAAACAGAACAGAACTCGTCGCTATAGGATTATTTCAAAGTCAGTCACCAAACAAAGATGAATAACAGCAGTGAAGGTGTTAACATGACCCTGGCTAGTTCACATGTGTGTTCCAGTACAACTGAGTCTGTCGTAATCACTTGGATCAAGATCGTACTTTATTTGCTGTTAGTGGTCTTAGCCTTGTGTGGCAATGTTCTGGTTATTTGGGTGGTTTACAAGTACAGACGTATGCATACAGCTCCAAACTACCTTATCGTCAATATTGCTGTGAGTTGCACTTTTCATACTTAGTAATTTTGAATTAAGGTATCAGTAAGGGGAAAATTTGCAATTTTGCATAATTTTACTTTTTTAAGCGGTTGGATAAATCATAAAGTAATCTTTAAGATAAAAAAAACTCCACGAAAAAATCTTATTTCTGCCGCTAGTTATTGCGCGAGAAAGATTGTTTTGCATATTAATTACTTAATTGAGAGTTGACAAGTTCTGTCAAATGAATTAATTATCGAGGCAAG